TCGTGTGCAGGCAGCTGGGTCCCGCCGCCCGCTCCCTGGGGCGACGGGGGCTGGGCACCGTGCCCTTCCCCCCGTGTCCCCGCAGCTGGGTCCCGCCGCCCGCTCCCTGGGGCGACGGGGGCTGGGCACCGTGCCCTTCCCCCAGCTCCCCCCCTGCCTAGCCCCTCCCACATCTATGGCAGGGGCTGCGCTAGGCGGTGGTCGCTCTCCAGTGGCATGTGGGGCAGGGCATTCCTCCCCACCACTCCCTTGCCTGGGCTCCCCCTTTCCTGCCGCCTGGCTCTGGGGGATCTTTGCTGCCAGTCTGCCTGTAGGTGCAGGGAAAATGCCCCATGGCACCCGGGCATCAGCACAAGATCATTACCCCAGCGCTGCTCTCCCTCCCTGCTGCCCTGGCTGCTCCCCTCACCCTCCCCAGCTGTCTGGGGTCCCTCTGCACCCAGCCGGCCTGCAGGCTGCTCTGCTGTTTGTCTGACCAGCAGGGGTGGGGAGACTCACCCTGTGTCTGCCCCAAGCACTAGGCAAGGCCAGGCTGTGCATGAGGCCAGCTCTCACAAAGGGCCCTGAGGGGGGAAGGAGATAAACAGGAGAAACTAGCAGATGTGCCCTGTTCTGCTTCCCTGAGCTCCTCCTCTGCGGAGCCAGCTGGGCCCCACTGCACTGAGGGGGGGAGGGGGGAAGAATCCCATGCCTGTTCTCCCCAAGGTGTGCACAGCGAGAGGCAGTGTGACCTAATGGCTAGCGTACCAGGCTAGCACTCAGGAGATTTGGGTTCCATGGGCAGCAGGCACAACTGCAGAGCTGGAGAACCTCGAGCAAGTCACATCCCTGCTCTGTGCCTCAGTTTCCCCACATGAAGAAAATGCTCCTGACCTTTTCAGTGAAGCACTTGGAGATGAGCAGTTCTACAGAAGGGCTCCTATCAACGTGGGGGGGCACCCGGACATCCGCACAGGATCATTACCCCAGCGCTGCTCTCCCTAACTTAACGTAGGGCCTGTCGACTGTTAAACCGGCATTGGTACTTCAGGGAAGACAGTACCTAGGCCAAGTGCTGGGGTTCCCCTGTCAGCACAGTTCATCCCCCTCCCTCCACAGTGGGATTTGGTGGGTTGAACGGCCTTGCTCAGGCATGTGGCCTTTTTACACGCAGCCTATACAATGTAGTTATACCAACCTAATTTCCTTATGTAGCCAGGCCAGAGGAACTGAGCCAGTTTTAATTTGCAGTCTCATGTAAGAAGCCCCAATCAGCGTACCTTGGGATTCCAGAGAAGATAAGGTACATCACTGGTCCCCAGCATGGTGCCCGTGGGCGCCATGGCACCCACCGGGGCATTTATGTGTGCCCGCCTAGTGACCAGGGCCGGCTCGAGCCATTCTTGTGCCCTGGGCACCTGGCGCATGCGTGGTGCCACCCCCGGGCACTTGGCGCATGCGCAGCCCCCCCCCCCTGGGGCTCCCGGCAGCCCCAAAAGGTTGGGGACCACTGAGGGTACATACACTAGAGGGGGCCACACAATTCCACACAAGGCAACACACAATACTGACGGTGCAAGAAAACTGTGAAAAGACTTTGTTTGACACCATCTTTGAAATTCACATTATCCTTATTGGACCAGACACTATATAATAATTTCCCTTCTCTGCAGTCACTTTCCCGAGTAACAGCTGGACTCGCTCCATTGGGTCTTGAGCGAGGCCAATGGCAGAGTTAGGAATAATTCTTGCAATTTGTGACTCTCTGACAATGGCCAGAGAAATACAGTTGGAATTGAATTGCTAGCTGTGTTGTCAAAACAGTTTCCAGCTGCTAATACAGGTGTCCAATTAATGATGCAGGAAGATTGGCAGGTGTTTCTCTCAAAGTCTGCACATGAACACAAACTCCAGCGGTAGATCTTTTCTCCTGCAGTCGGTACGCACCTTTGGACAGGTCTGTAATCTTTCAGTAATGGTAGTGAAACCCAAACTGGACACAGCACTAAAGCTATTCCACAGGAGCAACCGATAGCTTCCCATGTTGGCAATAGATTACAGAAAGGAGTTAAGCAGTTAACCCATAACAGAAGTGAATATGGACCAAATTCGTGGAGGTTAGACTCAGGCTTGGCCTATACTTAAAA